ATAATATAAAAATATGTATAAAAAATAAAATAAATATATTATTTATGTATTTAGATAATGTAAATAATAGCTAAGTTTGTTTATACGTAAATAATAACTAATTATAGATAATACATTTATATAATATTAGTGATAGATATTATTATTTTGATAAGATATTAATTTTTTTTTCTTTAATTATGTTTATATATATTGTATATATAATTATATAATCAAAATTTAAATTGTAATTTATAATTTTTTTTGTTCGTTAAGGCTTATGAACAAATTCGAGTTTGAGTCAAACCTGAGCCAACTTGGCTTGAGCTCAATTCATTAAATTTTCATTTAGCTCAAGCTCAACTTGAGCTCCAATTCGAATTCGTTAAAATATTAATAAACAGGTCCAAGCAAACAAAAGCTCAGCTCGGCTCGGCTCGTTTGCAACTCTACACTCTGCAAAACTATACAATGATTAAGTATACAATGACTACTGCAAAACAGAAAAACTGTGACTAACTAATTTAGCTTTCGTAGGAAAGCATCTCATAGTTAATTTCCCACCTTCAGTATCAGAGAAAAATAGATTAATGGTAATGAGTGTAAATACTTGGCTACGACAACATTGTATCCAATTGCATGGCTGCAAAGCAAGTAAGGGTTGAGAAGATAAAATCTGAGCCCTAATGAATACTAATACCTATAAGATGGATGAAACAAAATAACCTTCTAAAACACACACACACCTCTAAAACTAAGCCTAACTGACATAATAACCTCCACTAAAATTCTACCAGCTACCACTTGAGCATCTAAAAGATTTAATAAAATGAAAATTCAGCAAGATTAAATTAAAGGCTCTACCAAGACTAATCACTTAATATTTATCGTCTTCTGTGGGTTCTACATTAACTTAATTGCATCAGCATCACAGTATCATGCTCTCTCATAGAGTTGACAAGAGAACCAAACTATCAAAGTAACCATGATTATACTCCATAGAAGGTTTACGATGTTCTAAACAATGGTGCCAACTTTAATTGGCACTACCGAGTTGATTGATTCATTCAAGTATCAATATCTAAAGTACCTATTTGATGCACTAAATAGCACTCTGTAAGACTAACCAGATTTCTTACCCAAGGCTATTGACTCTAATGTACCCAAAAAAATAAAAAAGATTGTAACCAGCTTTACACATTCAAGAAAATATATATTGTGTATTAGTCTCACCTTTAAACTTGTGAACCAGATCAACACCATCAATGACCTGTATCCGTGAATCTGCAGATGTAATGTGCACTTCTGATGAGCTTCCTGGTGCAAACTATTAATTGAAAACTTATCAGCAACTGGAAAGTCAAGGAGCAAACATTTTTGCATCTGCCAGTGATGCCTGAACCTGCAATCATATATTCCATTCATTATATTAAAGCAAGAGGAACAAATTAGTTGTATTATTTAATAATTCTTATAATCTTCAAGGTTCTTTATCTGTTGGAGTGCCATATCTAGTTTGCTAGAAAATCTCTTGTTGCTAGATAGAAGATCACTATTTTCTTTCTCTAAGATCTCTTCTGAGATTCTCAAACGTTGAATGTCGTCCTCCTTAAATTTCAAACCAACATGCAACTCTTCCATCTTTGAGTTTAAGCTCTCCATATCCAATCTGGTAGCAGATACAGTTGCTTCCAAATGCTTGATCATAGCATCTGTGTGAAAAACAAGAAGCAAGTCTATTAATAAAAATTCAGATCATAAGCCAATTGTTGTTATCATATGATAAGACTTACAACTCCTAGACACTAATCCACTAAAAAAACACTTCAAGCACATGAGTATAGAAGTATGCCTCTGTTTCCAATTGGAATAGCCTATGTAAAACTCCAAATGCATTAAAATTCATTAAATAAATCATTAAGTTAAATGTGTGATATTACTACTATCACTAATATAGGAAGAGTGTGGTGGCAGCAACAGCAAACTGGTAACAGAAACCGAGCTCGATTCAACTCACTCAACACTCCTTATTGTTACAACAATTGTTCAGATTGTCTTCAAATGTTAATGATATTATGACAACCCATATTTTGGTCATATCTATTAATTTCTCAAATAAGGAAAGGTGGTCACGTGAGGCATGGACCTCGGCTGCACCTTACTCTAGGCAAGATGTGAACCATTAGGTACGTTAACCTCAAAGTGTTTTCATGAAGCTTTTTTAGGATACAAGCTTTAATTTGCTACTCATTAATACATTATTTCAATGAATTGGTCTTGAACCAAAGTAATTTGAGTCCTGATGGGGTAGGCAGTCCAGAAACAAACCATAAGCAGAAGCAGTCAATGAAGCCGCTACCTTTTTCCTCAATGACATTGGTAGTGTTGCACTGTTCATCTCTAAAATATTTCACGCTCTCCTCTTTTTTAATGCTGAGTTCTTTCAACTCTCTTTTGCCTACATTTAGAATTCAAACACATTTCATAACTCTAAAAAGAAGTGAAGCAAATGGAAATACCTAGTTCTTTGCTTACAAATTTATGATAAGCTTCTGTTTGGCAGCATCAACAGTTCTTATTGTTGGAAATTATCTGAAAACCTTTTATGATATATGAAATAAGGATAACTTACAATTTCCAACAACTTCCTCTGAACACTCAAATCTCAAAGACAACGTCTTCATTTGGTTGTGCAAATTATCAAGAGCTGCTACACTGGAAGATAGCTTATCTTAAAAAAATTCCTTGTCTTTCTCAGCTGGTAAAGCAAATGTAGAATACTTACAACTTTGAAAAATATCATAAAGCCAGTTGTCGGAAAGTTGAATAAACTAAAGAATACCTACCATCATGAACCTCTTTGTGCCAACACAGTTTTTTTTTAGTTAGCCATTTTTTTCAAACAGTTAAGAGGACCCTTAATATCAGATAACATTTACAGACTACCATCTATTACATATATATAGATATACATAGCATGTATATATTGATGAGAATTAAATATATACGAGAGGCTGAAATGTCCAATTGAAATTAAACTAATTTGAATCAAATTGAATATTTAAAGGGCAAAATTAAAATTAGAGGTTGAAAGTGGCATGAACTTATTTTAGGAAGCATAAATGTATTTTATCTGGAAAACAAATTAACAACTTTTAGGTCCAAGATACTTACATGGTCCAGTATGAGATTTCCATGCCTTTCTTCCATCTTCCTTACCTGCAACGACAGATAAGAGCAATGATCCAAATCCAAAAACAATTTCAAAATGGGAACAACAAAAAAGTGCTAGAAACAATTGCATGTTCTAAAATTACTATTAGATGATGCACTAATCTACTTCCTGTAAGTCTCTATCTGAGTTTTCAACACATGGTACTGTTACAAACTTCATGAAGCTTTGGATAGTTAGCTAAATTGATGCAAAAAAATTCCTATGTATTCATTCTAGACACAAGAGGAGAGATTATGAGGGAGTAGGAGAAAGCATTGAAGCAGCAAAAAATGGGAAACTCATACAAGGAGAATAGGAAGATTGAAATGACGTTATCTATACAAAAAAAATGCAAAAAAATGCAAAAGAATAATTTAAAACAGAAGGGTGTTCACACCAAATAATTTAAAAAGGCTGTTCACACCAACTGTATAGACAAAACAAATCATTAATAAGCCTCTAGGGTGGCCCAGTGTTAGGCCCTTATGCCCAGCTCACCGGAGTTGGGGGTACAATTCCCAGCTCTACCAATTAGTGAAGCTATATCATGCAAGATAATTTATTTATAGCTTTCGAAAAAGGTCTCCAATGAAATTTTGATGAAATTGCAACAAATAATTGCAACAAATCAACAGAAAGTATATGAAAAGGAGATAAATGAAAAAAAATTGTGACTTGGATTGGAAACCAATATCTTAGATCACAAATAAAGGGTTCTAGATCTTTGAGAAAAGTAAAGAAATGTATGTGCCTGGGAGTTGAGTTCAAACACACTCATCATCATGTGCCAATTGGATCTATAGAATGAAGTGGATTTGCAAAAAGAAAAAGTAACACTTTTTCCATGACTTGAGTCAATGAGCAATCAATTGCAGCATTTACTGTTACCGACTTGATGCATTTAGATGCATGTGCATTTTTTGACTATGTTAACCACGCAACACTATGTACCATAAATTATAACAGACCTTATAAAAGTCGTATAAAACAAGTTAGATTTCACACTTGGCTGCTAACCTTTGCTATAGAGATTAAAAATAAGAAGTGATCTATTTTGCACAAGAAGTAATCAAATAGAAACCCCACTCTTATATCTTCAAACTTCTTACCCCTTTAATAATGAACCAGAAATCATTTTATGCAACTGGCATTCTATGAATAAGATAGAACCACCATAGAATCATGACTTGTTTTCAAGTTTTTGAACACTAAAGAAATACATGTAAACAAAAAACACCACTAAACATTAAATTTAAGCAGATTTTGTAGACAAAACATAAAGCAATTATGAACAACTCTAAAGTTGTTTATTCTTTCTTAGTCAATCTTTAAACTTCTGCCAAATCATATATATTAAGAAATATAAATGCAATCCATGAAATAATTTGGAGCAGTAAGCAATCCATGAAATATCCGGCGATTACAAAAAATATAAACGCAAACGTCACACACATAAATCAATTTATATAAATTTTTTGGTAAGAGCGTAAAGGCACACAGATACAAAATGTGAGAAATAGTTATGCACATGTACAAACCGTGAAACAGACTATATGAAATGTGACTAAAATAAAACAAAACAAAGCTGCAACTGTTATACCACAATGGGGAAATGACTGACTTGAACTAATTTACCGGCTACAAAAAGTAAAAGACAGAATGACAATTGTTCAAAGCCTCCACATCTATAAACATTGTATTAAGTTTATCTTAACCTTGAACAAAACAATGTAGACAAAATTATACTGCAAAATTTAATTGATTGGGCTTTTCGGGGCATAACTATATCATGCAAATTTTATGATTCACAAGACCAAAAAGAAAAAGGGGGAGGGGGAGGGAAGGTAATACTTTAACAAATATGAGCTTCAAAGTTGCACCTCAGCCTCTTGTGTGCTTCTGTAAGTTGAGCTCGCATCATCCTCAATTGGTTGGATAATTCCTGTCCATAACAATTTAAATAAGAGATGTCAAAAAAGTTCATTGGGATTCTAGCAATGAATAAGAACTCAAATTCAAAACATTACGGTGACAACAGTGACAAAGGGCTAACCTCAATTCATTGAGTGCTGTGAGAGGAAAAAAAAAACATTAGTTCTTTCATGAGGGTTAATCCCTTAAGATTTAAAAGATTTATCAAAATAAACACAAACCTTGAACCCAAAAAGTCTTGTATATTTACATCATGGTCTAACTTCTTAAAGGTTTTCTTCGGTGCCTATATTCTCAAATAGAACACCAAAAGGCTTGAATGAATATGATACGTTTATCATTTCATATTTAATGAAAACAGAGAAAGAAAGAATGAATTGGTTTACTAGAGAACGGGCAGTATTAATCTTACTTCAAGGCTCTCCAACTTCCTGGTCATTCAAATAAAAATTATTTAGTGACATTGTGACAAATGCAGTTCAAATTTAACCCAAAAAAAAAAATAAAAGAAAAACTCTTCATCCTCATAGATTTAAAGCATATCTGTACTGAGCTTTTTGTCCTTTCTTGTGGTGTCAGTTGAGCGGATTTTGTAATAACCTCTTCAATGTTGCTGAACAAAAAAACACATGACTTCAAGAAATGATAAATGGTGCACATAAATCCAAGTGAATTTTGTTTAATTTTTCATGCCATACATCAAATTTCACGAACATTTTTATATAGGCACAATTGGAGACTTGAAAATACCTGCGCTCTCTACGGAATAATGTTGGCTTTCCAATTGGAGAAAACATGAGAAGGGCAATGTCAATGTCACATAATATGAATAATTCTTTAGCTTTCTTCAAGATTCCATTCCTTCTTCTCAAATAGGTCACTTGTTGATTGCTAGTGCTCTCTAATCTCTTTGTCTTTAACTTAACCCTCCCTATATTTTAAACAAATGAGAAAGACCCATAAAACACCAATGCAACTGATGCATCTATGTTTGGCCAATCCTAACCTACTTCAATTCTCCAAGCCAAACACTTGTCTAACAATAGAACGAATTAATTCCAAGAAGCTCCCACATGACCATGGACACAAAGGGCTAAGATAAATTTTTTAGTTAAGAATTAAGAAAAAATGATTTAGTTGCTCAACCTTTATTAAGAAATTTAGTTAACGCTTTAGAGCTCAACCTTTATTGTTAAAACCTCACTTTTGTATAATATAAACTAGCAAAAATGTCAATACTCCTTATTTGCAATCTTCCCAAAAATTTTGCAAGTTAAATTAGATGGGAAAAAAACTTAAATTAAAGGACACCAGGGTAACTAAGATGATTTAGTTCTATGGATATAGATAAGATGGTAGCATTAAACGATCCATAGGGAAAAGTTGTTACTAATGGTCCAAAGATGCAAAAGTAATTGTAAGGAATTTCATTAAAAGTAATGGTAGTCAGAAAACTATGAATTTGTGGGTGAATGTAAATCATATAACTTTAAATTGTTGGAGGTTTATGTGTCATGCATATTCACAACTACAAGTACTTGAATAAATTGTTCATACACGAAGGAAGAAATTGAAATTAATATCTGAATGGCTAGCAGATGGGAACGATTATCACCAAATGATGTTAAAAAACTGTTCCATTTTGAACTCAAAATTATATAGATAATTAAAATTACAAAAGAAATAGAGAGGAGGAGCGAAAAGGGAGCCTTGTAATTACTGGGGTGGAAATGTTAGGGATATCATTATCTAATATCAGCCATGTGCATCCAATTCAATTCACGTTAAATTCAATAATATGTTCCAAAAGCCTCTCTTGACTTTAACCAAAACCCAAGTTTTTTTTGAAAAGGCAAGTTGGGTTCCATGTGAGCAGAACTCATAGGCATGTTCTTTCCAACAAGACAATCACCTTACTAAATAAAATTATAATAATTTTAACAACAATTAAAATAAACAATGTTTTTTTTATGAAGGTAGGTCCGCAGATAATGTGGCCTGCAGTATGTGCTTCTCAAATTCATTGTACTATGCTAAAAATTGTTATGTTGCTGCATATGGAGAGGTTATAGTATCTTCGACTATGCTCAAATATTATTGTGCTGCTGCACATGGTGGTCAACTAAGAAATGCAAAACAAACTTGTAAAGATGTTCTTTTTCCCCTAATTTGATCACAAATCTGTGGAACACACCAAAAGATTTTATCAACAAAACAATTTGAAGAAATTGAAATTAAAATCTGAATGGCTAGCAGATGGGAACGATTATGACCAAATGATGTTAACAAACTGTTCCATTTTGAACTCAAAATTATATAGATAATGAAAATTACAAAAGGAATAGAGAGGAGGAGCGAAAAGGGGGCCTTGTAATTACTGGGGTGGAAATGTTAGGGATATCATTATCTAATATCAGCCATGTGCATCCAATTCAATTCAAGTTAAATTCGATAATATGTTCCAAAAGCCTCTCTTGCCTTTAACCAAAACCCAAGTTTTTTTTTTTTTCTTTGTTTGTGTTTTCTATGATTATTATTATTTATTACTTTTCTATAGTTTTTAAGTTCCATGCAAATGACTTTTTTTTTTTTCCTTTTCGTATTCATATTTTCAAAGCTTGGAGTATTCTTTGTATCACATAATTAGTATGAAATCCCGTAGGCCTCAAAAACTGGAGAAAAAGGCAAGTTGGGTTCCATGTGAGCAGAACTCATAGGCATGTTCTTTCCAACAAAACAATCACCATACCAAATAAAATTATAATAATTTTAACAACAATTAAAATAAACAATGTTTTTTTTAGGAAGGTAGGTCGGTAGATAATGTGGCTTGTAGTATATGCTTCTCAAATTCATTGTACTATGCTCAAAATTATTATGCTGCTGCATATGGAGAGGTTCTAGTATCTTCGACTATGCTCAAATATTATTGTGCTGCTGCACATGGTGGTCAACTAAGAAATGCAAAACAAACGTGTAAAGATGTTCTTTTTCTCCTAATTTGATCACAAATCTATGGAACACGCCAAAAGATTTTATCAACAAAACAATTTGCAGTCTCTTAAAAACTAGTGTTGGACTCATGCAATGCATTGGATAATTAATTTTAAGCAGGCATTTCTTGCTAAATATATATTATAATACATTTAAGGCAAACACATAAAGTGCACAGTTAAGACTAGTACCAGTAACCCAAGAAACCCACATTGAGGACGACTATATCATACTTACATTTGAGCAAAAATGGAGAGAAAATTTAGGGCAAAGATGAACTGTCCATCTTCTGATTTCGTTTCTGACGCGTTAATATGCCTCGACGCCTGGTCTTTCTCATCGCAATCAGCTCGTTCAAGATCGCCGTTCTGACGAGTCCGACGGTAGTCCTTTGTAGACAAAGGTTCTGAAATAGTTGAAGGGAGTGTAGGGTCTGGATTTGAACATATGGCTTGTGAAGGGATTGGAGAAGATCGAAGGTAGGGTTAGGGTTTTGGATCCGACGACGAGAGTAGAGAAGACGAAGTAGACGACCGGTGAAGAGAATAGGAGAAGAGAGAGAGGGCGGTGAGGGAGGAGGTGTGGCGGCGGCAGTGGTGGTCGCCGGTGGCGGTACCAGAGGCGACGACGTAGGAGGCGGAAGAGATAAAAGAGAGAGGAGAGTGAGAGGGAGTGTTAGGTTAGGTATTGGGGATTTGAGATGGTGACAAACGGGGGGAATTCATGCGCGGGAAAAAAGAATAAATAATTTTTTTTTTTTTTGTAGTTAATGATTTTTATTTTATTTTATTTTATGTTTAAGTTACTAAGGTTGAAAATTTATTTGTTTCATTTTTATTTTACT